AAATAAATAAGAAACTCAGGGGGCCAGGGAGATGGCTCAGTGGGATAAGCGCTTCCCTGGCAAGCGCAAGGGCCTGAGTTCAATCCCGGGTTCCACAAAAAAAAGAAAGAAACTCAGATACACATCTTGGGGAAGGTTAGAGATGCGGTGCTTGCTTAGTATTCCATTCAGGGATAAGTTGTATGAGTACCCAAATAGGAATGACTGTTGGGAAAAAAGAATTTTAAATGACTGTGAGATCTGAATGTAAACAGGTTAGCACTAAAGGAATTCCCCAGCCAATGAAAACAGGGGTGAAAATTAGTGCACCCCAAAAAAGGAACTTTTTTTAAATTCTCTGCAGCTTGGGCATTTACACTGTCACACTGTTTGCCACTTTCCTTCTAGAGGGATTGTGCAGTCACATATTTTATAATTTTTTTCCAAAGGCTCAGCCCTCCCTGGCGGCGGGGCTGGCCCCCACATGCTGGGCCGGGGATCTGACCTTGGTCCCCGCACACTTGCCTAAGCTTGTCTAACCAGGTGGTTTAAACCACTGAACTGTCTCAGCCCACCAGGGGGTGGGGCTGGCTGGCATGTGGTGCTGGGGGATTGAACCGTGGTCCCTGTGCTTTGCTAAGCTTGTTCCAAGTAGGTGCTTTAGACCACTGAGCCATCTCACCAGCCCCGAATGTGAGCTTTTCTTTGAAAGGCCATTTTATGATAAAGGACACCCACAGGGGCTTGGTTTCTAAGTTGAAAATCTTCTGTCCCAACTCTAGCAGCTGCAAGGGGACATTAGGCATTGTGTGTGTGCAGTCAAACTATCTGAAACAACAGTGAAAGAGGACGCCCAGCCCCACTAGGTTCAAATCCACCGGTGCTAATAAAAGACACCAGAATGGGACAGAAGAGACTCAACTTCACCTTTGAGGAATGGGTCCTGGGGACTTTTGCAAACTTTGTGTTACTTTTTTTTATTTATTTGTATTTTCATTTTTCTGTATTTAGGACAAGGTCTATGAATGAGATTCTATTTCTAGAAATTGAACACAACGTCTGCAAGAGAACTCTTAGGCTGAGATTGCCAGTTAGGCTTCAGAGGTGAACGGATGCACTGATGTGTCTGTCCAGCCACCCGATATAAGCCACCTCCTCACCCACCTGATACCCTCACCTTGGTCTTCATTAAATAATCACCATGCTTCCTCCTTGCGAAACCCACCATACGTCCTACTAATCATAAGGCATCCTGTTCGTCTCACATTGTGGTGTGTAAAGGCATCCAAGGAAGAGGGTTCTTGTTAAGATTTTGCTTTTGCTTCTGCATTATGTGCAAAGATCACTGGGCTGCTTTTTCTGCTTGTTTTGGTTTTGGTGCAGTCATCTAACATTTCCTGCCAGACCTCATTCTAGTGTTATGCTGTTGTTGTTGTTGTTGTTGTTGTTGTTGTTGTTGTTAATATGGAGAATCAAATTCAGGACCTTGTGCTTGCCAGGCAGGTGCTTATGCCACTGAGCTATATCCCCAGCCCTTAGTTTCTTTTTTTAATGGTGGCAAGGTTTTATTTTACTTTATTTTATTTTAATGTATTTGGTACAGGGTCTCACTATGCAGCTCAGACTCGTAGTGATCCTCCTGTTTTCAGCCTCCCCAGTGCTGGGATTACAAGTGTATGCCACCAAGCCTGGGCTTGGTGGCTGGCTCAGTGCACCCTGGGGTGGGGCCAGCGTGGCACGTGGGGCCAGCCATCCAGCCGCAGTCCCTGTGCTTGCTTAAGCAGGTGCTTAGTCTGCTGAACTATTGCACCGGCCCAAGGTTTAATTTTTATTAGAGGTGAGAGAAGAAACAAGCACTATTCCTCAAGTTAGGACTAAGTAAAGGTAAGAAAAGTACACGCTACAACTTGAGAGTGGACCACAGAATGAGAGAATGCAGTGACCCCTTGTTTGTTTTCAAAGTTCATCAGTGTGTTCTTCCTTTATATACAGGACAAATATACTGAGCTGGAACTTTCAGTCTCCCTGCCTCAGCTTCCCAGAGTGCTGGGCTCACAGGCCTGCGTGACCATGCCCATCTTCATTTTCTTTCTTTCTTTCTTTCTTTCTTTCTTTCTTTCTTTCTTTCTTTCTTTCTTTCTTTCTTTCTTTTTCTTCTTTTTTCTTTTTTTCAGTACTGGGGATTGAACTCAGGATTTTGCACTTGCCAGGCAAGTGCTTATTCTATTGAGCTATCTCCCCAGCCCCCCATCTTCATTTTCATCTATTTTCTCAGTGCAATTTCCCTGCAGAGAATGTAACTGACCACTTTGGCTTTAAAAGCAAAGCCTTTTTCCTTGAACAACTGTTGGAAAACATCTTGTTTCTCTTCTGGCTGTTGAATTTCTGAACTCACTTGTTCATATTCTCCTCCTAGTTCTGAGGTGGCAGCAATCAAGTCAGACATCCTCTGGGTATCTTCTGAAGGGCCCTAGATGGTTGCATCATTTTCCTGGGGTGATTGTCTGAGCTCTTCAATGTCATGTGGGAACAGGAATTTGGAAGCTTGGGTCAATACACCAGATTTACTTGCCTCAGGAGATTCCATTGACAATGAAGACCTGTATGAATGTAGAGAAAGCGAGGGTAGATCATTGTGTTGTCCCAGCAGTCTGTGCTTGGCATTACAGAGCCACTGTATGGTCTTCTAAACTTGAGCCAGGGGCCAGGGAGATAGCTCAGTGGTCTAAGCACCTGCCCTGGCAAGTGCAAGGACCTGAGTTCAATCCCAATTACTGCACGGAGCTAGCCACAGAAATTGGGCATAGTGGAAACCCACTGTGGTGGAAACCAGACATCCCAGGGAGTCCAAGCTGTGTAGCAAGACCCTGTACCAAATCAATAAATTTGAGCCACTTAACTGCACTAATTTTTTTTCTAAAGATACAACTGAACTTACACTTTTTTCTGACCTTTTATTTACTTATTTATTCGTTTTATGTATTTAGTACAGGGTCTACAGGGTCTCACTACACAGACTGAACTCATAATGAGCCTTCTGTTTTCAGCCTCTCAAATGCTGGGATTACAGATGCGCACCACCATGCCCAGTCTCAGTTGCCATCTCAGTGCGCCCTGGGAGTAGGGCTGGCACAGGATACTGGGCATCAAACCCTGGTCCCTGCGTCTGCCTAAACAGGCGCTTCAATCCGCTGAGCTATCTGGCCAGCCCTGCACCAAAGTCTTGATTTTGGTTTTATTCTCTTTATCATTTTATATCAAGCCAGTATAGTTCACCTTAGGTTCAAATTATGATTAATGTCAGTTAAAATCTATGTCTGAATCCATTGAAGTTCTTTTTTTTTTTTTTTTTGGCAGAACCGGGGATTGAACTCAGACCCTTGCACTTGCCAGGCAAGCGCTTATTCTACTGAGCCATCTCCCTGGCCCCCCATTGAAGTTCTTGACATTGGGCTCCCATGCTGTGCTTGGTACCTGCTAGCTCTATTCTTCTATTAGCTTACCTTGCTGCTCTCATTTATTGTGTTCCTCTAAAAGTACCCTCCAAGTAACTCCCATTAATACCTCCGATCTCACTGCCAGTGTTGGATGCTTGTAAAATTTCCAGTGAAATCTGACATTTCTTACTTCATACGTCTATTTCCAGGTCTTTCTCTCCAATGAAATATGATCAATTCTGCATTGTTTTTCTAAATATATCCTGACCACTATTTTCCAGTCATGTGGACACTTTTTCTTTTCACCCTACTATGTGATCAGTATTACCACTTTGGTAACAACAATACCAATCATTTAATGATGCCTTCTTTTTTAGACTGTTATTTCCTTTTTCATTCCCAACAACACTGGTATTCTCTCCAGAGCACACACACTTGCAGTTGCCAAGGAAGGCGAGCGTGTGCTGGATGTGACTGTGTCAACAGAATATGAGGATCCTGTACCTCTGACCCCCTATGCCGGAAGAGCTGAGCTTATTAGTACGCCTAGCTTGTTCGTGGCTAACTGATTGATCAGTTAGTGACAGCCATGTTCTTTTCATTTAGAAGCTGAGACTGCAACTTGAGCAATTGAAATCTTGTTCTTCTTTTTACTAATCTTTTGGGTTTGGTTTTAGATAAATCATGCTTTTCACTTCCTTTTTCTGCAACCAGACATTTGGACTTTTTTTAGCTGACAAACATCAGCCTCTGAATCTTTTTTTTTTTTTTTTTTCTGCACCTGGGTTTTGATTTGTCCTATTGTGTTTTGCTTTTTTTTTTTTTCTTTTTGAGACAGAGTCTCTCACTGTGTAGCTCAGGCAGGCCGTGAACTCACTTTGTAGCTCAAACTGTCCTCAAACTCACAATAATCTTCCTACCTCAGTTTTTCAAGTGCTGGGATTACAGGGGTGTACCACTGCCTAGCAAATTCTTAATTTCCTCATCTTTCCCTGAAATGATCTGGAAACATGATCATTCGTTGTTCATACTAGTATTTCTTTTGAAACATGGTCTCCCTACGTTGTTCAGGTTGTTCTTGAACTTACTAGTAGCCCAGGCTGACCTCCAATTTGCAGAGATCCTCCTGCCTCAACCTCCAACATGCTGAGAGTATAAGCACCTGCAACTTATAATACTAACTCATGCTAGTATTTAAAATCATCCATTTCCTGTTTCTTTTCTTGTAATACTGAGATAGCTGGTGTTTATTTTCCTTCTTGAGGCTACTTTTGATTATAGTCAACTGAGACCACAGCTTCTAGTCCTGTGACATCGTTTAGCATGTTGGGTCAGCCACAGGTGTTACTCCACTCTATCTCTTCTTCACCCATTTCAGTTCTTCTTGCATAAGAATTTTGCCATTTTTGTCTAGGCTGTGCTGTCAAATTTCATTTTCTTAAGGCCTGAGTATATTTATCAAATTCCTCTAGAAGTTCTGAACTTTGCCTAAGCTTTTGTTTCCCCTTTTGTCACAATATTATTTTACTTCCTCATCTAAGGCTATAATTCCAAGGCTCACATTCCATTGCCTGTTTCTTTTTTCTGTGGATCACTTTTTTTTTTTTTTTTTTTTTGCGGTACTGGGGACTGAACTCAGGACCTTGTGCTTGCCAGGCAGGCGCTTATTCTACTGAGCTATCTCCCCGGTCCTGTGGATCACTTTTTTTTTTTTTTCCCGCGGAACCGGGGATTGAACTCAGATCCTTGCGTTTGCCGGTCAAGCGCTTATCCTACTGAGCCATCTCCCCGGCCCCTGGATCACTTCTTATCCAACCCATTTGACAAGAAACCATTGTCTGTCAGGTTCTACAGAGGATAATTGTCCAGGTCTTTAACTCTGTTTTCAGGTTGGTTTGCTTTAGGTACATTCTACTTTTTCAATTTGTAGAACCTGAATAGGTTTTGCAGCTATTGGATTTTAGAAAGATCTGGAACTTTAATTTGAAAGATGCTTTCTAACTCTTCAATTCTTTCTTTGTAGTAACTTAGGTTCTCTCTATGCCTTTTGTAGTCTCTTTCCTTATCATTGGGATAAAATACCCGACACTTGCAATCTAAGGAAGCAGAGGTTTATATGTCTCATGGGTGCAGTCGATGGTCACTGTCTCCAAGGCAGAAAGGCATGGCACAGGGGTAGAGCAGAAGAAAGATGCTAATGGCACGTTCCTATAATCTCAGAAGGATCACTGTGTGTTCAATGCCAGCCTGGGTTACATAGCAAGACCCTGTTTCAAAGAACAAAGCAAATAACCTGCCAAAACCACTTATGTCATGGCAGCCAAGAAGGACAGATACAGCCAGACAAGACAGACAGAAGGCGAGGTACTCCTCCAGGTCATTGCCCAACAGTTCCCATCTCCTAACAGCTTGTCAGTATGAATTAGTGCTGACTGATGAGACAGAGCCACATTGATCCAATCACCTTTCTCATTCACGAGCCTTTGAGGGGACACCGCAGAACAAAGCCATGGCAACACCTATGGCTGAATTCTATTAATTTGCTTCTGTAATTCAAATGTCTCAAAACTGATGGTCGGCAATCTCTTGACTTCTGTTCAAATTCCTTCATGGTCTTTTGCAGTTAGTAAATTTAATTTTTACCTACTAGCGAAGTTGTTTCTTCTACAACTTGGAAGTCTGAGCAGTGTGTCTCCAATGGCCATCTTCAGACTGAAGTTTGTTTGTTTTTGTTTTTTGGAGACAAAGTCTTGCTATGTGATTCAGGGTGGCCTTGTCCTCACTATGTATCTTAAGCAGGGCTGAAACTTGTATTGATCCTCCTGCCTGAGCCTCCCAAGTGCACCACCATGCCAGGCTCTCATACTCGAGTATTAAAACTTCATCTTGACAATCTGCTTTGTTGTTGTGACCAGATTATGTCACTAAAATCCATGTCATTGGCTTGGAAAGTTGATGTATGATACTACCACCAACTGAAGGTGAAACAGTGGTCAGTAGTGTATCACTAGCTTCTAAATGTAGTGACCAGGTGCTGACTGCAGTCCATGGCAATGACCCTGAAGCCCTAGCTGCCTTGCTATTTTATTTGTAGTGCTTTCTCTTGCGGTTGATGTCTGTTACATGCAGTTTGCTGTCTGATCTGATACCTTGAGCTTTCATACTTATCCTGTGGATCACTGCGAAGATTTTTAGGTGTTTCAGCTCTGACCTGAAGATTGCCACAACAGCTTTCCAATATTTCCTCCACTTCCGCCGGTTGGGGTTGGCGCCTCTTTCTCTGCTGCAGTGATTTTCTTTACAGTGTCAGACGGTTCCCCCCAGCGCCATGCTGGCCACTAGACATTGCTCTGAGACCACAGCCTAGCTCCGAGAGCCAGCAAGCACAGTGGTAGGACAATTGCACAAGGCCTTCCGCTTTTCTGAACCGAGACCATACACTACCAATTTGTTCTGCACCGTCTGCTGCTCACACAGTAATTGCTTTCAAATGAGAGTAAAATGCACACATTCAAACACCCATGCACTTGACACCTACAAATGGGCGCACCTGGCATCAGTGCCCACGGCCGTGTCCTGTTCCTCCTCGAACACCCTACATCTGTCGTCTGTCACACATTTACACTTTGGGGCTGGATTCTTTCCACACAGATTACAAACCTCGTCCAGGCGGTGCCTATTACTGACGTGTCAGTCACAGTATGCCAAGGTGCTAAGGGTACGGGGTTGGTGGTTGGCACGGGTGGGTTTTCCTGCACTGGCATCATCTTCAGGGTTGTCAGGCGGTGACCTTGGGCCGGCGCTGAGATGTGGTGCGGGTGTCCTGCATCTGAAGCCCTTAGAGAGGCTGACCCAGCTCGGCTGGGCTCAGCTCCACCCCTGTCGGCTCAGCTAGGCTCGGCTGCACTTGGTAGGGCTTGGCTCCGCCCTCTCTGGTCCACAGGGTTCGGCTCTGCCCAGGCGCTCGCCCTGTCTGACTGGGTTCGGTCTGTCTCCATCTCTCTCCGATCCGCCCCTCTCGGCTCTGCTCTGCTCGGCTGCGCTCGGCCCTCTCGGCTCGGCTCCTCTCAGGTTCAACTTCTTTCGGCTCGGCTCCTCTCGGCTTACCTTCTTTCAGCTCGGCTCGGCTCGGCTTCTTTCGGCTCGGCTCGGCCCGGCCCCGACCAGCTCGGCTCCTCTCGGCTCAGCTTCTTTCGGCTGGGCTCGGCTCGGCTCGGCCCGGCGCCGCCCAGCTCGGCTCCTCTCGGCTCAGCTTCTTTCGGCTCGGCTCGGCTCGGCTCCGCCCCAGGCGCGGGGGGCGGGGAGATGGCGGGCGGCGCCGCTGGAAGTGACGCGGCGAGGGCGGGGCTGTCCAGGGTAGCCGCCGCCTCCGCCGCCTGGGCCGGGAAGCGATGTAGGAGCCGCCAGGCCGTTCCCCGCCCTGCCTGGCCGGAGCCCCGCGGGCCGCCGCCGCCACCGCCGCCGCCATGAAGAAGCAGTTCAACCGCATGAAGCAGCTGGCCAACCAAACCGTGGGCAGGCGAGTGCGCCGGGCGGGCCTCGGGGTCGCGCCCAGGCCGGGGGCGGGGAGGGGAGGGAGGCTGCGGACCGG